ATGACGACCATGCGGATCAGGGGTTTCTGAAGGTAGTGAGATTCAAGCTGGACTTAAAAAAATGACAGGCATGAACAGACATGAACAAGGAAGACCACAATGATACTAATAATAGCTACATTTAGGGGTGCCTGGGTGGCTCAGTTGTTAGGCGTCTGCCTTCGGCTCAGGTCATGATCCCAGGGTCCTGGGATCGAGCCCCACATCGGGCTCCCTGCTCCGCGGGAAGCCTGCTTCTCCCTCTCCCACTCCCCCTGCTTGTGTTCCCTCTCTCGCTGTGTCTCTCTCTGTCAAATAAATAAATAAAATCTTTTAAAAAATAATAATAATAGCTACATTTGGGGAGAGCTGATTATACATCAAGCACAGCTAAGGGTTTTGTAGTTATCTATTATTTAATCTCCATAATACTATAAGGCATTATTTTCTCTATTTGATAGACCAGGAAACCAAGGTTTAAGGCCATGTACAGCAAGGCTTGATAGAAAATATAGGAAGAAGTAAAAGCAAAAAGTGTGTTTGGGGAAATAATCTATTATTACTAGAGTATCAGGTACACCTGGTGAGGTGGCAGAAAGGAAGGGACAAGGGCATATGGGATGTATGATGATCAGAAAGTACAAGAACCCTATAATCAAGGATTTTGAAGCCTCAAATGAATTTGGACCTCACCCTTTGGATACTGAAGAACCTCTGAGATTTCAGAGCACAGGACCCTGCTCAGGGATAACTCAGATGTGTGGAGGAGAGCATGATGAGGCAGACAAGAGGAAGGGAGCTCTGTGAAGAATCATGGGGTGAGGGGAGCTTGGGTCAGGGCAGTGGGCAAGCTAAGAGATGAATCTTGAAACCTTTACATGCAGAAATTGTTAAGTCTGACTTGGGGGATGAAGAGAATGGAGCTACCTTTGGTGGGAACCACTGTCCCCTCCCATGCTGAACCCTCCAACCCACCTCATCTTACTGGGGGAAGGGAAACTTCTGGTCTCCCACAGAATGGAAGCCTCAGTCCCACCCTGGATTATGGTTGTGCCAAACCTCTAAGACCAAACAAAGCAGGGCGAAGTCTGCTCTGAGACCAGAGAAGAATCTTGAAAATTGTTCTCAATGCCCACATCAAGTGAGGAATCTCAGGATCAAAGAACAGCCTGTCACAGAAGAGACCACGCCAGTTTAATGCTGTGACCCACTTCCCAAAGGTCAGGGAGAGTTTTATGTCATTTCCCAGCAGTCTGTCAAACCTGGATGGGTCCAAACAGGGTTGGATCAAACGCTGTATGGGAACACAGCTCCCCTGCCAGGGGCCTGGATGCCTGCTTTTGACTACCTCAGGGCTGGGCTGGCGGGCTTCCCTCTGGTTCCCACTTTCAGGAAGCCGGCCACAGCTGCTGGCTACTTGTCACACCCTATCCGGAAGGTGGCAGCATTTCAATGGTAAAGCAACAGATGCCCAGGCGGTGGCTAATAGCCTCAAAGTTTGTTGGGAATTATGTCATATTTCCCAAAAGAGCTAACTCCATCCAGTTCCAATGAAGTGGTAACTGGTAAAGGCTTGGGCTACAAGGAGACAGCGAGGCTTCATAATTCCTATCCTAGACTGGGGCCATTCCAGGGAAAATATTTAAGGCAGGCACTCAACAAACATTTAAATGTACCAGGCACTGTGCAAACTCCTTAGAAATTTCCTAAAGCAGACAAAGAGACTTGTTTTAATGTTAAATATATATCCTTGACTTTTTTTCTCCAGAATGCTGCTCACAGTGACACTTACTTTACCTTTTTCCTCCAATAAATGAGTCCCCATACCAAGAAAAAGTGCTCCCAATACCAAAGAAAGGGCAATCAGCTGTCCAAGCCTACGGTCGGCCTGCAAACTTCCTGCCTGCCTCCCAGTCTTTAATCCCCAACCGCTGGTGCCCCCTGACTCCTAAGCTCACCAGGTGGAAGACAGGACTGTTCGCCAGCCCTCTCTCCTGAGATCCAGCCTGCTGTCTCCAGCTGTTTTCCTGACATCTTTACTTAGATGTCTCAATGGAACATCAAGCTCAACTTGTCCACTTTTCAAGATATTGCTCGGACCCTATGTACCTCTTTGCATTTCGATCTCTACCTAGTGCAAGCTGCCACAATCTCTCACCTGGACTTCTATAGCAGACTTCCAACCTGTCTTCCTGCATCCTCTTGTCCTCTTCCCTCCTTCCTCCACACTGTACCTTTGAGTGTCCTTTTAAAAACCCAAATCTGATCATTCACCATCACTAACACCCAAATGGCTTCCCACTACTCTTTAAATAGAAAGGCAGAAGTGATACAGAACTCCTGGGGAGACCAGGACAGCTGACCAGGGACACCTTGCTTTTAGTTAACTGATAGTGTTCTTGCTGTAACAGTATTTTTTGTAATGACTAATAACCTTACTTTTCTTTCTTTGAAAAGGAGACTGGATTACCTTGATTTCTGGTGACCATAAAACTGCAACCTCCCAGTTTAGGAGGGTATAATTAGCCTTTTGAATAGAAACTTATCAAATATCCATGAACTGGGGCACACGTTACTTCTTAAAGTTCTTGTAAACACCTTGAGCCAGATGGGACCTTGAAGATGAATTAGCCTAGAGCAGCGGTTGGCCAATGATACCCTGTAGGCCAAATCAAGTCTGCCACCTGTTTTTATAAATATTTACTGGAACACAGCCACACTCATCCATTTGTGTACTGCCTATGCCACTTGCCCTCCAACGGCAGAGTCGGGTGGCTGTGACAGGGACCGCACGGCTTGCAAAGCCTGAAGTACCCGGCCATTAACCAAAAAGGCTTGCTAACCATGCTGTAGAGGTTGGGCTGCACATTAAAATCACCTGGAGTGCTTTTTATTTTTTATTTTTTTAAAAGATTTTATTTATTTATTTGACAGAGAGAGAGGGAACACAAGCAGGGGGAGAGGGAGAGG